TGTGTAATCTCATATTTAATAGACAGCTGAACACAACACATAGAGGTTGTTGGGGTCCACGAAAATGATCAAAAGGGAACCTCCAAGGTAAGGTATCTGTCCCAACTTTGAGAGAAAAGTGACAGAACACCTATTAGCTTACCATCCGACTATGCTTACAAACTTTTGAACGCGATCTCGTCCGTTGGGTCGATGATAACGACGACACTGTTGAATCGGTTGTTGTTGCTGGCGACGAGAATGCTTCTGGGAACTCATCTACACGTGAGAAGTCGAGGCGAGGAATAGGACGATTACGGCAGCGAAGACGCAGGGGTTGATGATAGGGCGGGCATGACATAGTCCTGAAAAGTGATTTCGTCTACGAAGACCAAAACACAGATCGTACTCTAGAGGAACATACATGCGACTTTTTGGAGAGCGTTCCACTGAGTCGTCATCGGAATCGTAAAGGCGTCGACTGCTTGTTGGAGACCAGTCTCCACATCCAGCCATCCGTTTACTGGCGTCACTAATCGATACACGCGAATCCGCTCTACGTATTTTACCTTCAGACTTCGAAAGACGGCTCATTCTAAAACAAAGATGAAAATTGGGTATTCTTCTGAAACTTCAATATTTAATCTTATTCTAACGGTGTAGTGTTCTCAGCCGGTGTGTGGATCGGTCTATTGCGTTCGCTTGAGGATGACGGTGTGTCATCATCAAAGTTGAGACGATATCTGAAGGAAGATTCACGACTGTTACACCAGAATAAAAGGAAGGAATGAAGCGCATGGAGTTATGCTGCAAAATACCAACCTCGGAAAAGGGTCACCATTACTAGGTTGATCGTCCATTTCCAGAAATCGTCGACTCAACGTTGTGAAACTGTGCCGTGATAGGCGCCCTTCTGGAAGAAGTAAATAAAACTTGTAAAACTGGCTAGAATACAAGGACAACTGGCCCTCCTTTCTGTAAGGTCTTAGTTGAGCTTATTTGGCTACAAAATTTTACTTGTTAAATGGTAAAAAAGGATCAGCAATATTGCAAGTATGACGGTCATTCCACGTAAATAAATCGCATCCCTGTACAAATCAGAGAGATCTCCTCTTTTTAGAAAGCAGATACCTGAGTCACTTTCGTCATCACCCCAACGTGACATTCTCTTATGCCGGATGGATCCGTTCACTTCTGGAGTGTGCGCCTAAATTTTGCAACATGAGACTCCAACAATTAACCTTTCCACTTTCACAAGGGATCGAAATAACACAGTCCAAAGAGCAGACGACTGCTGAGTGTACAAATCTAACGCGTAATCCCTTCGTGCATGAAAGCAATACAGCGGTTGTCAAACTTTGCGACCAACTGCTACCAAATCACGCGACGCGCTAGTCGCAATGTCTGACAACTGTCTTAAGACATGAGCGTCGAAGTACGCTTGGTTGTTTTTCAGATCATTCACCTTTTTAGAACCAAGGAGAGCGCGCATTTATGTTTCAAAGCATACTAACCGTAAAATAAACAGTTCCCTTGTACGGCGTTGTACAAACGTCGTTTTTCTTTCTGCGCAGTGCATCAAAGAACATCAAAAACGGAATTGCCAGCAGGTGTACCAGAGCTACTAACCAGAGAAGGACGCTGCCCGTGTGTTCAGAGACAGTGACCATCTAAAACGCATCAATATTATTCCTTCCTAGACTCGAGTATAAAAAACCTACCACTTGGTGATAAGTCAGGTAAACAGAACGGATTGGTGTTCTACAAGCGATCGCGGAATCTGAAAGTGCCTGTGCCGTAGTGGGACGTGAAGCAGGATCAGGCGACATCAGCCATTTGATGAGACGAGTAAGGTCTTTGGACACACCTATAAAAAATCACACATGATCCCAATGTCGGCAATCAGTACCAAGCCTTTCAAGCCTGTCACCTTTGAAAAACCTGTCCGGTATATGGCCACTCCGAATCTGGTGCCATGTGTCGCCGCGAGAAGGGAGATCTATATCGGTAGTCACCTATATAAAAACCATTTTTCTATTAGACTTTAAGTAAGCAATCCTAGCACCATTTTGTGGGGCTGAAGTCAGAGTCCGCGATCCGTCGCAGGTTGCTGATTTCAGCGATTTTCACGATTTGGGCGATTGGCGTTGGAGAACACCTTGCAGTATTGATGGGTCACTTGTGGTTACCGTGACCCGTCGCGCAAATCTAGATAATCAAGAACGCTGAAATCAGCGAAACCTGCGACGGATCGTGGATTCTGACACCAGCCTGAGCAGAATGAAGTCTTGAGAAACTGCTTACTTCGAGTATAGTGATTCCTATGCTGAACACATCCGCAGCTTTTGTAGGAGACGCGTTCAGAACTTCTGGTGCTAAATATTTCGCGTCTCCCTCTTCAGGGGTGTATGTTGTATCCTAAAAAAATCTGGAGTAAATAATGAAGCGAAAGGCTACAAATGAAATGGAACTGACATTCTTGAGATCGAATATGAGACCGAAGTCGCCTAGCTTGCACACTTTGTCCTTTGTAAGGAAGATATTCTCTGGCTTTATGTCGACGTGAAGAAGGTCATTTTTGTGCAGATGATCGACAGCCTAGGAAAAAAACCGAAAAATTACTAAAATATCTTTAATTTAACACGAGTAGTTCAGCAAAACCATAATGATTTTAAGATTGGAAAGTACCCTCAAGAGATCGATGAAGATGTTCCAGATTTCCCGCTCTGGTACTGTATGAAGCTCCGTACAGTAGTCCAGCAGACTTCTTTCACACAATTCGGTTAAAATGTATAGACGACCACTAAATTAGTGAATCCAATATATCGGAAGTGATGACGTAAAATTGATCTTACTTTTCCTCCCACGCCTTGTAGAACTGTACGAGGTTAATGTGCTTCGGTAAAAGTTCGTGCTTTTGGACTTCACGCAGCTTCAAGGTACGATCCGCTGAGCTTCGAAATGCATCAAGCGCACGTTTCACTGCGTACCGTCGACCGTCCTCTTTACAGTATACAGCATAGGCCTGAAAGCTAATGACGTTACCGTCAAATCCTAGAACCTGGATGGAAAATAACTTGCTGATTCGCTCTTCACGTACTTTCCGAGGCGATCAAAGCAATCGAGAATTCGCTAACAAAACCGAGGAATCGCCACCGTTCAGAACTCATGGAGATTTTGAAAGAGCGCGAATAACGCACTTCAGTTGTTCATTCAGAAAATGACAACCACCAAAAAAGGATGCTTACCTCTCCAAATGATCCTTGACCAAGTTTCCTCTCAATAGTGTAGCACTGCTCGAAATATGGCACACCAATATTGGGGTTATATACTGGACTGTGGGCAATAACTGTAAAAGTGTATCATTAGTTCATAAAAAACTCACAAAAAAAGCTACAAATGAAAACTGGGAATAGAAACATCACTACGACTAACTGTTGTCATCTGGAATGCCTCGGAAAGAGACTTGATGTGGCGTTTGTAGCGCGAACCGTCGAGGGTAAATCCGACTCAGTGGCGGAGCTGTTCGCACGGCTCTTGGGACAGAACAAGGTTTTCTTCCACAATTTTGACGCATCTGTTTTTGAAAAAATAACGAAATAAGGGCGGCCGTACAAAATACAAAATAAAAGCCACGTCGAATGCAAAAAATACCTTTTCACGCTTTGTGGAAAGCGGTGAATCAAATTTGTCGTAATAATTTTGCTGCGCAGCTGGAGATCGAAACAATTCACCGTTTGTTGAAGACGATGCCATTTCATCATCCATTGTGATTCTTGAAAGAGGATAAAATGGGATGCTTGAGATCACGAAACGTAGTGAAAAAATATTGCGGTCTTAAGATAATCCGCATTATTAGGGAGTCAAATAGTTCAGCAATATTTAGAATAATGGTTATGCTTACATGAAATGACAAGATCCTCAAGAAAGAGAATAATAAAGGTAACAACTGAGCTCGGATGACGAAAAAACTTCAACCTCAAAATTAAGATCGTTAACATAGGATATTGGGCATCCAAAAATTCAAGCAAGCACCCAAGTCCAAAGAACAACAAAACAAACGCGTGGAAGAACGTAGCGCTCATGCTTTCGGTTGTTTTCTTCACTATCCCATTGAAAGCATAAAAAGCACAAACGACCATTTCCACTGTACTTCAACCGAGCGCTATTGTAAACTTGAATTTTGCACTCGACTGAAACCATTAACAACCTAAGGCTAATATCACAGATGGCTTGAAAAATGAAGACTAACAACTGTCGTGTAAGTGCGAATACTAGGTATTATACTGCATGATGGGATAATCCAACTCGACTAGCATTATACTTCAAATGTAAAAACGTATGTAAAAACTGTAATGGAAGTAAACCTCATTTGAGATAATACCAGCAAGCGAGAAGTTACGAAAAGAGACACAATAACGGAAAGTGCAATCACAACGACGAATGAATCATTCAAACGCCCCAACTTCGCGCCGCTCAACTAAACGCGGAAAATTCAAAAACGGATTTTCAAGAAGTGGCGATTCTAGTGAAAACTGCTAATAAACGACTGCTAGACTCTGCTACTATGCTCATTCGAAGATTCTAGCGCCAAACAATGTTCATTCATGAAGGGAGGAAAGGCTATGAAATAGTCATACTGGAGAGACGAAATACAAAAACTAGTAATCATATCCGATTCCTTCAAGTGTTCTCTATTCGACGAAGAGATGAACTGAGCAGGAAACTCACGATTAACCTAGAAATTCCACTATACATCTCAATTACTTTAAAGGGCTTCAAAAAGTTAGTGGACTTCGTCCTGAACGGAACGGTCAGTGGCGGGCGGTAACATGCAAAATTCAAATATCTTACGTACGTCGGCTCCTTTGATCTCCACGGTGTTCGTTCGTAGTGGACTTCTTTTCGAACAAGTGTGTTGTTATTCTGTCACCCTTCAGTTCAAACAGTGCTATTTCTTATTCCTTGCTGTGCGATAGTTGCAACTCCAGATAGTGATCAGTTAACTCATTTAGTTCAACATGGCTCCACCCGGCGAGCACTATTCCTTGGACGACTTCGTGAAGTTGGACAAAATTGGCGAAGGTAATGTTTAGTAGGCCTACATTGCGCATTGATCACTAACTCTGACGCAAGTGTGGTTGGGGTGGGGCATCACGGTACGGTATTTCATGCCGAAGAAATAATAATATTGGTCCCCTCCGCTAAAGATTGTGGTGAGACAGTTGCTGCCGCCTACAAAAACTCTAATTTTTCTAAAGGGGATCAATATGACGGTGCGTGCAGCAGTTCGCTCTCACAGTCCGGAGCTCCCTTCCCTTGCGGAAATTGGATTACTTTGAGCGATATGAACTGTCGCTCCACTTCTTTGGCAGGAAGAGGTAGCTGTAGGATTGGTGGACGGTTCGACTTGTATTTGAGGGTAACTAGGCAATAATGAAAATAGAAATGTTTGTCGTGGTTTTGGATGCCACAAGGCGTGCGCCAGGATGATCCGTCCTCAAACCACAATTGAGCTCTTACTCCAATGTATGTTCTAATATCTTGAAGCAAGCACCTATTCATGATTGCGGCTTCGAAAGGGAATCAAAAACAGGTAGAATGATGAATATAATGGAAGGAGATTGGTTTCTGAAATTTAGGATAGCTTTCATTTGGAAATGATACGCGAGGTGTACTGTTGGCATGCGCCCTCATACACCTACCAGGGAGGGCATTCGTATTCCCATGGAACTTTGAATTGAGACCTAGATTCATCGATTGAGCTTTAACCCTTTCGGACCTGAATTTTTCCCCGTGGAGAAATTTTTCTTCTAGCTATTGTTTATTACTTGTGAGCATATAGGTATCATTATGGCAAAATTTGGAAGCTATTCGATCACAAACAAAGAAACTAAGAAGCTTTGAAAATTGGCCCACCTTCTTAGTTTTTAAGCTTATGTCGAAACAATTCCAAATTTCATAGTTATGCCGAAAAAGTTTATAATCTTGCACAACATTATAACCCATAATTTTGATTAGAATGGATCTACTTCAAGTATTTTCAAGAAAAAGTGACACTTACTTGGCCGGTTGCGGGGACCAGCGCCGATTCATTGTTGCACTTGTACACAAATACTTGTAATACTAACAGCAACACACAATGAATTGGCAGATTTAGCGCATAATACAGAAATTTCGGATTGCTGGTGGCGAATGTGGCCAACCGCGGGCTAGAAGGAGTTAAACGCTAATTAAGCAACAAATGTGGAAATTGCAAGTGCAAAATGAACCCTGCCCAGGAAGTTGTGAGCAGTCAAAGTTGGCTGGTAATAACGCGCTACATATGAACCGTGCTACTGTCCAGGCATTCAATCGCGGTGAAGTAGTGGTAGTGTTCTCGAAATATGCACATCCAGCGGGAAGGGAAACTCAATGACCTACCGGCTGTTAGAGCGAGAGCCATTACGACTACTTAACAGCGTGGCTTTGAAAGCCGCAGAGGCTAACCACTTATAATGTTAAACTTTACTTCCAGCCAACTTTGGCTGCTCGCATCTTCCTTGGCAGGTTTATCTTGCCGTTTTAGTGTCCATATTTGCAATCAGCGTTTGAAGCTCTATCGATACACCAGGGTCTTGATAAAGTACCGTGGGAAGTTGAATGCCTTCCTTGGTTGTAGCGCTGAATAACAGGAGGTTTTTGTCAAAGATAGGTAGTTGTCACTGTTGCTGGAGCATAAAGGATTTTGTTTCCGTCACCAGCGGCCGTTTTGAATATGCTCCAAAGGCTCACTAAAAGCAGTATTCTTATGCACCGCGTCTCGGAGACGCTGAACTCGGAACCTCCCCATATATACCGATTTTTTGAACTTCTTCCCATATGTGATCTCTTTCGGAAGTAGTTGTAAAGCGGAAGCTGCAGTGGTAACTCCGGGGTCATAGGCAGGAAGTCGGATGAACTCTTGTTGATTTGCTAGTTACTTTTTTCGGCAACATTGCCGGAAATAACCTTGACATATGGAAGGTCTGTCAGCAGTTGAGGGCAATATGGGGAAAAACAGCTACCAAACAATGCGGCGAAAATCTCTATGTCTGCTTACAAAGCATTGTACAGCAGATATGGAAGACGTTTCGGGCTCATCTTCGTAAGGCAAATGCAACAGTTCAACTAGTTTTTGCAATGGGGTGATTTACACCCCATTGCAAAAAACTAGTTGAACTGTTGACCTTCCGCAATGAGCCGAAATGGGCGACGCTCACGCGTAACTCCTGCCTACATTGCCGGAAAGAGTAAGTCAACGGACCTACAAGAGCTTAAGACAGCTAGATAATTAAGAGTACGAGCAGGAGTAGCGAACTTGCGAAGGGGGCTCACTCCACTTTTGTGATCTTCGAAATGACGTCTTAGATTGAACGCGCGATTTTAGACGTCTTCTTTTTATAGGCACTTACGGTGTAGTGTACAAAGGGAAGCACAAGAAAACCAACAAACTTGTCGCCATGAAGAAAATTCGTCTTGAAGGCGAGGACGAGGTCTGTCATTCCAGCTCAATTCCATTGACTCTACTTTATTATGTTTTTGGTTTATCCTAACTCATATGTGCGTTTCAGGGTGTTCCATCGACGGCAATTCGTGAGATTTCACTGCTTAAGGAGCTTACGCATCCGAATGTAGTCGCTTTGGAAGATGTCATCATGCAGGTAAAGCACGAAAATAATAGACTCCTTAACTTCTGTCTATAGCAGAACATTAATATGACAGTAATGTGGTGATCTTGATTGATCAAAAATCCGCTGGCCACGGAAGCCCACGGTCTAACCCACTTTTCCAAATCTTTATTTCTTCTTTTCTGGGCATAATGTGGTAATGTGCAACGTCTTCTTTTGAGTGAAACTGGCACTGGTTAGGCATTTTTAAAAATAGTGGAATCACCATGGTATGCCAGTCGTTTCATTGCATCGACATGGAGCTCTGGCCACTTCTGGCCGTACTTCATCGTTAAGCTCGTATGGACTACAGTTCATCGCTTCGATAAGTGTGTAACCTTCTCAGATAGGAAAGAAGGTGATTCAAGGGTCACATGTCTCATCAGCAGAATTATCAGAAGCAGAAACTCCTCATTTTTGAAGTTTTTATAACCAAAAATGAGATAACCGTCATGCAAATAGTGGGCGGTCAAAGTTGACAGGAAGAATAGCGTCAGTATAGGAGGCGAGCTAATCTAACCGCATAGCGTTTTAGTTTTTCCTGAAACAGTACCTATAGGGGTAAACAGATGGCCTGGTCACGAATATGACATTCATTTTTGAGACAGAGGCGATCTGACGCTCAGTGCCGCAACTCACTTTTTTACTGCATTTCTTGCCAACTTTGACCGCTCACAAGTTGCCTAGAAAATTCGCGTAGCAGTTTTGGGTCTACATATCTGTGAATTCAGTACTCTATCGAGTTTGCTGGTCTCATTTGCTAAGTTCTTGTCAGGAAAGTTTAAGCTTCATGGTAAGAGAAAGGGCGCTAGCGCCCACACATGCGGGTGCATTTAATGGCAGAACTCTTCTTAAAGCCCGTGAACATGTCTTTTTTTTTAGAAAAGGGACCAAGCCGTAGATGAGGGGGAGAGACTTTGAGATGTGGGGCCATTTACATATTTTGCCTGCTTGCTCCTAGGCTTATTCTTAGAGGATGTCCCCTATAGTATTGCGATAGCATCGGCAAAATTTCTGTAAAAAGGATTTCCCAATTTGGAAGTCCGCAATGACTTTTTACTTAGAAATTCCTGACCTCATTCGACTGGAATTCCTGCAGGATTCACCTGCAAGCTAAAGCAAGCAGGAAACCTGTCGAAAAAGGCGCTCTAGAAATAATGGAATCAGTCTAACGCGTATCACCTGGGTGCCACTGTGTAAGCCTCCCTCTCCATCTGAAGGTCTGGTGGTTATAATATGCGGACTCAGAATTCAATGCCGCTTAGTTGTAGGTTATGTTAACCTTCCCAATCGTAGAAATGTACTCAATAAGAAATAGTCAAACAAAGACAGCACAGGAAGCACGATATATGAGTACATTCAAACTGCGTCAGTACCACCATTGTATTTTCACCGTTCTGTTTGTATAGATATGGCCTTATATGGGTTGTCTTAGTATTTCAGGCAAATTCCCTATACATCACCATTTTTTATGTGAAAGCGTACTGGCTTTTTAGTTGGGTTGATTAAAGCTCCTGAGCTTTTTTCGAGTCTACTAATGATGCACTTACCGTTCCAGAGCAGTGGTACGGTAACTGACCAGTCTTCGAATCTCGAAAGAGGGAATGGTAATAGCCCTAGCCAAGGCCGTGGATAGCATACGTTGTGTGGCAAAGGTTGAAGCATGAGGTCGCAATAGTTGTGTTTGGATATCTAGGCGAGAGAGTGCTAGGTGCGTAGTCGCCAGTCAAGAGACACGAATTTGAAGGGATGAATGCATGTTGTATTTAGACCCTGGATGTACCAAAATGGCCAAAAATCGCTAAAAGCTTTCTAAAGAAATATTTTGTGGAAGTGCAAAATCGCGCTCGAACTAAAGAGAACATGAAGAACAGCTCGTTGACTCATTACTCATGTTTTTATGACAGTAAGACGTAGGGTTGTGAAAACAAGCGACTGATCACACAATTGACGGTCTATATCTCAACGAGCGCTTTCAGAGCTATAATTGTCCCTTTTTCGACACTGCTTGCTTTAATTTTTACTTAGTTTTGATTATCAGTAAGCCTTTTCTGCGAAGTCACCATGTAAAACTTCTTAACCCATTCGCGACCGCGCAGGATTGCGCAATAGCAGCAGCGTCAGAAGATTTTTCTTCAATAAAATCCGAGTGAAGGGAGATTTCCTCTGCCCAGGGCTGGCGTAGATGAGCGAGGGTATGAAGATTCTTTCCATGGAAGAAAACTTTCCAAATTCCATTTCAAGCCCTGCAGCCACAGTAATACCATTGTCCCGAGTGAGAGCTTTGTCAGCCACCGGTGGCTGACATTGTCACGAATGGGTTAAGAATGCTGGGTTGTGAGAAAAAAAAAAGAAAAACGAAAATTGCAATTGCTTACTAGGAGGAATCGAGCCCGCATCGACCTTTCGCACAGTTTTGCTACCGGTAAAATAATATCACCTGAAAGCAATGCTTCGCTTTAGCTGAGCTTCCAGTGGTATACTGCATATATCCTGCGTGTGGCTAAGTTTTTTGCCCATCCGCCGACATACTCTTGGCAAGGTTAAATATTAGATTTTCAGGAAAATCGTCTTTATCTGATATTTGAGTTTCTCTCAATGGATCTGAAAAGATATTTGGATCAGCTTCCTGCCGACAAGCGGCTTCCACCTGCCGAATGTAAGAGCTACATGTTCCAGGTACCCTTCTGAATTAGTTTCTGTAGCGTAGTTTTTGAAAATGAACTTTCTCATATATGTGCATTTTTCAGACTTTTATTGGTTTCTATTATGTATCAAAGATATAATACTTATTAGTATAGTAGTATTCAGATCTGCCAGGCCATCTGCTTTGCTCACCAACGCCGTGTGATCCATCGTGACTTGAAGCCACAAAATCTCTTGGTTGATGGCAAAGGCGCTATAAAGTTGGCCGATTTCGGTTTGGCTCGAGCAATCGGTATTCCTGTGAGAGTGTACACTCATGAAGTGGGTTTTGCTTATGCAGTTTTAGGTGGTTTCGCATCAGTTGACATGTGATTAAATTTTCGACCACTAAGATTTTGGATCGGTCAAGGAATTCTAGGTTGTTACGTTGTGGTATCGTGCTCCTGAGATTTTACTTGGGACACAGCGCTATTCAATGGGTGTTGATATCTGGTCCATTGGATGTATCTTTGCCGAAATGGCAAGCAAGAAGCCATTGTTCCAGGGAGATTCAGAAATCGACGAGCTGTTCCGTCTTTTCAGGTGTGACGTTGTTTATTCTTTATTTCACTTGTACTTGTGCTCTACTATTACTTGAGGAGAAATGAAATTTTCAAGGATTCTTGGCACTCCCACTGAGGCTGAATGGCCAGGAGTCAGTCAGTTACCGGACTACAAGCCAACTTTCCCCAAGTGGAAGGGCAGCTCTTTAGCTGAAAAGATGGCAAACTACATGGACCATGATGCTATTGACTTGCTAGAAGTAACCAATATCCGTTTTTTTTTTCATTAATCACATGCCGTATGCAGCAGGTTCCCGCCGATAGGGAGGGGAATCGTTGCATACGGGCACGTCGGTTTCGTTGAATGTGATAATGTGTTTTATTAGCATGTTTTCGGAATCCATCAACTCTTTTCAGGCAATGCTTGTGTATGATCCAGCTCGTCGCATCTCATCAAAGAAGGCGCTACATCATCCATATTTTGACGATGTAAGTTTTTTTTTAGATATTTACTCTCATGCAACAAGATGACCTTGTTGGCGGGGAGCTGGGGTACTGAATACTGGATCTATTTTTCCCGCCCTTTTCGCTCCAGGTCTTGTGAGAAGTGCACATACTTTTTTTTGCGGTCGAAGTGCCATATGTCGCAATCCGTGATAAGTGCAACGAAAACAGTTGACGTAGCCGCTCCTTGCCTTAGATGAGACTCTTCCGTAAACTCGAGAGAAGGTTGAAAAAGGCTTTCCGTGCATATTGTCATATGTGATTCACAGATTCACCTACCAACTTGCCCATGTGCATAGTCGGCGCTCACACGCGCTACATTTCTTAGGCCGAGTACTCCCCCCCCCAAACCGCCTGACGGAAAGAACGCGAGGAAATATACTTAGAAAGCGAACTAACTCAACCTAAAAAAGGCGGCAGCGGTGTAGTGGCAAGTGGCGCGCTTACCATGCGCGCAGTTCGGGGATCGAATTCTGGATCGTGCGTCGTCCGGACCAGCTAGGCCTTCCATCTCTTCGGGGTCAGTTAATTTCGTACCAAGCTTTCTGGGAGAATGAAAACACTGACTTGTACATCGCTGTCCCCGCAAGCAAATTGTGAGCAAATCGTCTTCAAGGCATAAATACGAAGATAGAAGGCGTGCCGCATCCCGAAGAGGACTGATCAACGGCAAATGCTTCTATCCTTTATCCTTATTATCTATCCTTTTATCCTGTAACTCAACTAAGCGATAGTTAATAAGTAAGAAAGGTGAGGCGGGGGTTGGGGGGGGGCAAACTCCGCAATTTTGTTTCATCCGAGGGAGAGTATCCGTATACATATAATTATGGACTCGGCAAGATCATACGTTGCCACACTACTTAACATGAACTGCAAAAGGATGACCGACCCTGACGAAAACCTGAAGACAAAAATTGACTTCTGACAAGCGACCTGGGCGTATTCAATCCTCCCCAAAGGGATATATCCCTACCGGTAATTCAATCCTTCCCCCAGGGGGATATATCCCCCTACTCTGATTCAATCCTCTGGGGACAAAAAAGGGTTGCGTCATAGGACCTCGCATACCTCTGTGTTTCTACCTGCCAGACAGTTAGAGCAGCGCGACCTCACTGTAGAAGTACCTTCCTAGAGTCACGCCCTCTCCATTCAATCCGTGGCGGACAAAAAGGGTTTCTGAACCTAGCATACCTTCTTGTTCTACCTGCACGACAGGAAGCAGCCACTACTCCACTGATGAAATACTCTTCCCGAAGGTGCCCTCTAAACTTATGCAAGTAGAAACACATGATGCTGGGTCCTAGACGCATCCACTTTTTGTCCCCCAGATGATGAACAAAGAGCGGATATATCCCTGGGGGAAGTTAACCCTGATTTACCGGCCCAATGAACATGCACGTTGCCCGAGCACGTCTTCATTCTGCAATTGCACGAACCGCGATGGGCAGATTCGTTTCGACGTGTACATGGCACACTGTATCGCAGTCGCACAGATACTCAGCCTTGAAATAAAATTGTTCTCATTAGGGACACGCCAGCGTTCCAGCAGGAGCATACCGCGGCGAACTGCAACTCAACTAGCACATCTTCCGGTTCTTCTAGAAGCATCAAACGGTTTATTTTGCCAAGTTATTCAGATCTATTGCAGAAACTTAACTGTTGTAGGTATTTTCACCTGTTCTTTTTTGAACGAATTAATGCTACCCTACCCACGAATTTGATCTCGCATTATCACCCTTCATTTATAGATGATACGATGTGCTTAATTCGCGAGTTTTATGCTTTTTCTTTTCTAATTGAAGTTTTTATTCTTCTATCAGTATCGCGAATTAGGTTTTCTTCAAGAAGTATGAAAGGGCCTGCATGACGTGAAGGAATACGCCTTTCTAGCCTTTGTTGGAAAATCGTCATTGTTGGTCAGTAGCGTTAGCGCAAGGGTGAAACGAGCATCAGGCAGGGGCTTTGATAACACGCCTTCACCTTTTTGTTAACAACCGGTGAAGTCTGCGTCTGCTGAATCCACCATATTAAAACCAAGTCTTCGCCTCAAGAGGAGAGTGGATGGGGCTGGAGAGGAGCTCCATAGTTTATAGCAGTCCACTCTGGAGCTCCTCTCCAGCTTCATCTACTTCTCTTCAGGCCTAGACAGGAGCCTAACGCTGTCACCCTTTAGGCAGCCATCTTCACTGCTGTGTTGTAACAAGAAACCCACGTCGAATGAATATGGAGCTCTAGAAGTTTAAGCTTCATTATGAAATCCTGACGTTCTGTTATTACTATATACGTTGTAGATTTATAAGTGATTAATTCAACTACTCCAGTGCTATCCCATGAATGAGATCTGTTGAGGTTCAGTACAAACCCTTCCACTTTTTGTAGCATACTGTAGCATCACCTTTCACGCATCCCTGAAAATATCAATGTGACTTCTTGAATTATAGGGATCGGGAAGTTATAACTGAAACTCGATAATATGCTTACTTCCACGTCAGCTCTTGCACTTTCACTCAGTACTTCGCCTTTATCGTTGACCAGTTTTAGAGCAGGGATAACCTGGACTTTATATTTCTCCAGAAAGCCTCTTAAAAACACATTAGAAGTGAGATGGTATTATGCAGTAAAAAACGTTTGAGTAGCTTCTACGGCACTGTTAAGTATCTGTTTATTTCATCAAATCAAAATTAGTACTTGACTGGGTTCGATCGTCCGATCGCATAATCGAGGTAGATAGATATGAGACACATATGTGTTAACCATGTGATCGCAACGAGTACGTATTTGCCACGCGCCTACCAGGAATGGATGATGGGTCGAAGTGGCCATATGCAATGAGACCTACACCTATTGGATGTGTTTTTGGACGCTGATCTCGAATCTGCTTTCCAAATCTGCCAAACGATTTTCTGAATGGAGTTATGAAGGAAAGATAGTGCAGCGGTAGTGGTCCGGGCTCACCATCAGGTACGAAGGGATCGATTCCCTCAAGAGTTCTTCTTTTTGCCTCCGCGGTAACATGTTTAGAAAAAAGCCCCCGCGTTCCTTTATCGACGCTTACCTACAGCTATCAGTACAGAGAATGCGAGAAATTCCTAACAATGGGCGCTATGCTAAGTACTGCACATGGCGCCCGCAGAACTGTTGACAGAAGTTCCTGCAGCAGACAGGTATGATATTCGTGTACCGGAAATAAGAATTCTCCTAAGGCTAATTTGTAGCCAAGTCAGCACTCAGAAATGATCGCGACCTCTCAATCGCGAGCCCGGCCCAGTACCGCTGCTCTATTCTGCTTCATAACTCCGTTCAGAAATCCGATTGGCAGATTTGGAAAGCAGATTCGAGATCAGAGTCCAAAAACGCACATCCACTGTAGGTGTAATTGCAAATGGCTACTCACGACCCGCCATCCTTCCCTAGTGTGGAAGCGCGAACGCAAACAGTCCGTATAAACTAACTGCGGCCTGAAGGAGAACAACACATTATTATGTGATGGCAACGACTACTCACTGGATGTTCGGATCGCCAAACGGTATATAGTACCATGGTGGCATTGCTTTCTCATAGTACTCCAGCTGATCCGCGCGCTTCTTTATCACGAGAGATCCATACTACTTCCAGATTCGGTCGATCTGCATCTCCCAGTTCTTCATAAAACTTCTAGAAAAAAATTAGAAACGTAGCTGAAGAACAGAACCACGTGGATATTATAGAATGAAAAACGTACCTTCAGCTTGGAGTGAGCATTCTACAAGACACACCGCATCCCGCAGAACAATAACGCAAAAGAACTAACCCGGTTTACTTATGACGAAGTTTCCTCGCCAGGCCTCAGGTGTGGTGTCCGCAAGTGGTAGTACAGAGCTCCGCGTCCCCATAATTTCGGCACTAACCCGCCAACACTGTTCCTGACCTAGCGTCCTCACAGTTCCCACTGATTTCGAATTTTATAGCGATCAAAACAGTGTGGTGGTACATTAATGTTCGCAGGACAAATATTCACCTAGAGCGCACGAGAAGCTGAGTCTTCCCCCCCCCCCCCGGCCCCCTCGAATCGTTCACGTACCCGTCCTACGCTCCCTCGTCATATTGAAAACCCTTACCTAAGCCTTAGCCACTTCATGATCACATTAGCGCGCGTTCGCATTCAGCCCGATCCCAACGTTCGAAGGTAGTCCTGCCACTCAAACAGCGTGTTCCTTTGAAGTGGACTTCCTTTGAACGTTACCGCCCCTTTCAAACGGTGTGAGTCGCTGGTACATCGTTCGATCCGCTGGCACATAGTTCGATTCGCTGGTACAACGTTCGATTCGCTGGTGCAACGCTCGATCAGCGATTCGCTAGCGAATCGCTCGATTCGCAAACTATGACATCGGCCCTATAGCACGGTCGTTACAGAGATGAACACGACTTGATCATCCAATCGTCTAACACTTTGTTACAGTGTTTTTCGTTCTCTCAAAGTGGACTATGGAAGAATGCTATATTTTAGCAAAATGCCTACTACTTATGTTCACTCTATAAGAACCCTCTTTTTAATATGAAGTAATGAAGTTCTGCTTGATCAATTTTTGGGATAAGTAAAAAAATGCGCGAATAGAAACCAATTAACAGTGATTGTACATTATTCTGCACCAGTTTATGTCATCAGAATATAACATTGAAATAGACATGAGGTACCTTTCCCTTGAGATCATCGGCCGATACCTTGTCCACTCCTCGCTTCTTCAACGGAACGCTTGCAAGGAAATGTTGTCCACGTGTGATAGTGCGTAGTGTCAATGGAAGCAATGGCTTTACATGGTGAGTAAAACTCGTTATGATCATGGTCTACTGAAAAATTCGAATATGATTAGGCGAAAAAGTAGCGTAAATTTCAACACCTTGCTGCAGACAACCGTGTTGCGTGCTCCCCCATTTTTTTTGTTTTCTATCATTAACTACTCCACTAGCATTTACATTTAAATCGACACCAGCAACTGCCTTTTCCAAATTTGAAAGATTTGGAGGGTGAGATATTATGACATTTCGAATCAACAAAACGGTCCTCTCACGTTGGGCCTCGTGCACACCATTTGGTCAAGTGCGCAACCTACGAAATATTGCAAATGGTGTTAACATTTGCAATCAATCTATGACGGTAAAAAAGAAAACTCACTTTCGAAGATGAGATCTTAATTAGAATAATAGTTACTGGCAGCTACGAGGTAGAGTTGCTAGGTGAAGTATTCCGCTGGGTGGTTCTGCGATTTCATTGAAGATGGCAGATATCCTCAAAAATTTGGAAAAAACAGATAGGTAATTTTGGTTTTCACCACAAGACCACGTTTCCTTCAACAAAGCTTGAAAATTTATCGATCACTGGGCGTACACTATCACTCTGGTTCCTTCTAACATTTGCTCTATGGTCAGAGCCATGAAATACAAATATTTACATTACT